TAAAAGGATTATCAGAAAAACTTAATAGGATAGGAAATAAATTCAACATTTCAACAACATTCAAAACAACAAACACGTTGAGATCTATTTTGTCCAAAACCAAACCTAACAATGAACAAGAAAGGACAAAGAATTGCATTTATAAAATACCTTGTGAATGCGATCAGTTTTATTTAGGTGAATCATCAAGGCCATTAAATGTTAGAATAAGTGAACATCAATCTTATATTAAAAATAGAGAATTTGATAGATCTCAAATATGTAAACACGCATGGGATAATGAACATAGAGTTCAATGGAATAATTCAAATATAGTCCTAAAAGAAACGGATGGTAAAAAAAGAAAAATCAAAGAAGCGGCTCTAATTATGCTAAATGAGGCCAATTGTGTAGCAAATTCCTCGGCAGAATGTAGTAGGATCTGGTTACCAATATTGAAAGAGGAAGTTATTAATAAGAAAATACCAGTATTAGTAAGTCAGTAACATATAGAGGATACATCATTTATGTTTTTTAAATAACGTAACATAAAATCAGAATTTTGATGTTTGTTGAAGGTAAACTAAATTCACGAACAAATACTTACAATGTCGGGATAGTATTATGAGGTTTTTTTCCTGGTTTTTCCCTCATAATTTACTATGGAATCACTAACAGGAGAATTTTACTGTCATCATGTCATGTGTTTGTCTTTTTAAAGACGAATTACATGCTATGATTTTTTCTGACGGATATTCTCAAGTTAAAGTTGATTTCATGTAATCGAATGAACTATCTTATAAGTAAAGTCGTCCCAGGAGCGCAACTCAACAATATTGGCAATATCATTTTAAAGTCGTCTACTTTAAAATGCATAATCTATGTCTGAATTGTCAATATAAATGAGTCAGATAAAATTAAATTATCAGAAGAATTTTTTCACTATGTAACAAAAAACAAAATTTGTTTAATTTACTATTTGTATTTTGAGAACGATTTCCGAATTGGAAATTGAAACGTCAATAAATGTTTTTTTATCTTTAATGTGGCTTATTCCCAGTTATAAATAGTTACTGAATACTAAGTCAATTGAAAGAGTGAGTAAATTTAAATACCTGGGATCGTGGCTTTTTGAAGACTGGGCATCGTACAGGGAAGTAAAATGTCGCATTGAGCAAGCTAGACAAGCTTTCGTAAAATTCAAGAAGGTACTGACTTGTTCAGAGTTCGATCTTCAACTGAGACTAAGGTTTACTAAGTGCTACGTATGGTCAGTGCTGCTGTATGGCGTAGAGGGCTGGACACTCAAAACGAGAAATATAAACAGATTAGAAGCTTTCGAAATGTGGCTTTATCGCCGTATCCTAAAAATACCATGGCCAGCGAAAATCAAAAATATAGATGTCCGTAAAAGAATAAACCAAGAACGCCACCTTTTCGAAACCATCAAGAAAAGGAAAACGGCGTATCTAGGTCACATCATGCGAAATGAAAAATACCAGTTCCTCCAACTTATAATCGAGGGTAAAATTGAAGGCAAGAGAGGAATGGGACGCAAGAAAAGGCAATGGACAGGGATTAACGACATACAGTCTCTGATACATATTGCAAGAAATAGAGAATTAATGGAAAATGTGATCGCTAACATCCATTAGTGGATTTGCATCTGAAGAAGAAGAAGAAGGTGTTCGTAGAAGTTTTCCCTTGTGGTGGTGTTAAATTTTTTCACATGCGAAAGGTCATGTCATTTTTCGCTGTATTAATAAGTACCATTCTACCACAATTTTACAAGTATTTCCCATTCTTCAACCCTTCCTACTCACATTTTAAGCCAACTCCATTAGAAATACAGACAGTACATAGCAAACATGAAGTCACTCTCTTTCGTCTGCTGAGTCTCGCTAGGCAGACGTACTCTTTCTCTTGCCTTTTACCTATCGCTTGGTACAGACGTGTTTCTCTTGGATGTTATCTATCGCTAAAGTGACGCTATCTATTCCCTGTTGACTGTCGTTGGTGACAGGTGTTTTCTCTCTACTGTTGACTGCCGCTAACTAATTATCTCTCTCCCGCTTCTAATTACGCGAAAAATACCGCAAATACTATTTTAAATCGCGTACAGACGCAAATGTGCTCTATTTCTTGATCTCAGTATAAGTAGCCGTGTTTCTTAAACACGTGTTTCTGAAACACGTGTTCAGAAACCGGTACGTGCATAGATTGCGCGTATGAGGAAAAACCGCGGAAATCAAATACTGGTGAACGTAAATGTAGCAACCCTTCTCAGTTGTTTACTGTCCCTCAGGTTCAAACTTTTGCTAATCAAACAACGCAAATACTGGCCTCTCATATTTTAAAAAGTTCTAAAAATATTGACAATATCTTGGTAAGTGTCAATAATTTGGAAATGATACACATACCTTATTCTCAACTATGCTCGCTTCTAAACATTCACGGTTTCCAACTCTATAAAATATACTCAAATTCATGTGCCTTTTCAGATTCGTGTAATATTTACTTTAGAAGTCAATCTTGACTTAGGTCCGCTTGCCATTATGCTAATTTCAGTACTAATTTCAGTGCTAAAAATATTAGTTAGTTGCGCGAGTCGATTTAGTATGAAAAATGTATGTTGGTGTTTGCAACTATCTTGATTTTAATTAGACTGTAGGCATGCGCCCTACCAATTTTGTATTGACAGTCTAACCTATCTGAAGTTTGTTTTATAGTTTTATGATTAGAGTAAACAAAACAAACAGGAGTTTGTACAATTCCGCCTTTATTTCTTCCAAAGCTTTTAATCTCCCATTCCTATTTTTGTATAATGGATGTTTTGGCACATATAAACAAGGATTTGCTTTATATAGTTCGATTAAATTTTCTATTTGCTTTTGACTCCACATATTTAAAAACAAAACATAAATTTACGTAACATAACCTCTGTTTTAGTTAATATTGGATAATTTTTAGTACAAGAAATTAGAACATGTTCCAATTTTTAGTACTGAATCGGCGCGCGCACCTAATTTGTAGATACAATATTTTTAGTGCTAAATTCAGTACTGAATTTAGCATAATGGCAAGCGGACCTTAGTTAGTAACTTCTCTAAGGTCCTAGGTATTAACAGGTCACCTTATTAAGACGATTTCTCTTTTAAGTTGCCCGTTTGTGAAGAGGCGCCTCCCTTAACAAAAATAAAATTATGTGCATATGTTTCTCGAATGTATGATATGGGATAGATTACCTGTATGAAGAACAACCGCGAGTGAAAGCCTGTCAGTACCGCGTGTGTGTATGGGGCAGAAATATGGGAAGGCTTTGTATAGACTTAATTTGCTATTGTCTGTACAATCCTTTTACTAAATATCCAAATAATTTATTTGAACCAGCCCTATGTAATACAGTCCACATACACTGAATTATACTCATCATTTCACATATGTACACCCTTTTTGTACAGGTGGTATTTCTGTTGTTCTCTGGTGCATATATTGCTATCACATTCAGAGGTTTGACATCTAGTTTAATTTTTGCACTTACTATTTTTTCAAAGGCAACACCACTGTAAATCATCAGATAGTCATCTAGCATAATTTGAGCCTTTCCTTTTTTCTCGTCTCTTGTAGTGCACATATGTCTATATTTTTTTCTACAAGCTCTTTTGTAATTTCCTGCTCTCTTATATTTAGAGGTTTAACGTTCCAAGTACCGATGCGAAGTATATTTCTCGTTTTCCATAATTTCGTTGTCCTCTTTCTCGCGTTAGTCGTTGTAATGAAATCATTCCTGTTTCGAGGCATAATTATGTTTCTATGAGCTTAATGATTTTTAAGTCTATCAGTAGGGTGCTAACCTTGCTGTAGACCCCTCCCCCTTTATCCGGGCTTAGACCGGTAACAGGTCTGTCGAGCTACTCGATCCACCCAACAAAACTGCAGCCGAAGTTTTTATTAGGATTCAACTGGCGCTTTGTAGCAACCAATTTGACCACATTGATTGCCCCAAAGATACAATTGATAAACATAAGCATGTTAATATCATTTCTTATGTTTTTACGTTTAATGTTTTTTTTTAAAAAGATTTCCGAATTGGAAATCGAAACTTCAAAACAAATGTAAAATTTAATTCTCATTAAAATTTATTGTGGTTTAATTCCATAGAATTAACTTAAACATGCCACAAGAATTCAGTTTCAAAACCTCTTTTCTTAGGTTTGGCTTACTATTATAGGAGTATATGTCAAGTAGACGCATTGGTCCTTTAAAGAACGTAATACATTATTGAGACTAAGGGAGCAAATTAAGTATTTCCACAAAAATCGAATTTATGAAAATACTGTAATTTTAAGATACTTTCCCTAAATGAAAAAAAATAACATTTATAGAAATTCCAAAACCTCCAAAATACACACCTTTCCTATGTAAATCTCCCTTTGACACATCAACTCTATAAATTCTATGCAGAAAGCCAACGCCAGATCGTCTTTCCGCTTTGCTAATTTTACAACGAATGCTAATTCTCGACGAGAGCAGCATATGCCTACGAAGAAGAATCCCTCTTACTCTCCTCTCGTCCTTCACCTCCTTGCCATTCGCTTTAATTCGTTCTCTAGAAGGACGAAACACCACGAGACAAATTCAAATTGAAAATTGTCACATTTCGGTCGCCTCAAGAATTCCGAATTCCTCGACTGTTCTCATAAAATTCGAATCCGCATCGAACAGTGACTACCAATGAAAGGGAAAGCCGAATTTCCGTAAGAAAAGGGTTTTCGTGACTGAGAGGGTTGTAGCCGCATCCAGTGGGGGTACAACACTCGAACGCGAAGGGAAAAATGGAATGGAATATTACAATATTGTCTTTCTGTCTCAGTTTCATTTTAGTTCAAATGTAGTTTCATTAGTTTTAAATATTAACAATGTTTTAGGTTACACAATAAATTTCTTACCATAGAAAAATTAAACCTAATTTTGTATGTTTCGGTTTACTGTATATTAATAGGTATATTGTTTTTTTTAAGAGAGCACCTTCTTGGTGAAGCTGTCGAAAGGATCACGTGGCCTCGGTCTAAGCGTGACTGGTGGTGTAGACAGCACGGGTTCCTGGCCCGGCTTAATAAGAATCAAAAGACTGTTCCCTCATCAGCCTGCTTCGTCATGCGGCCTACTCACCGTCGGAGATCTCCTACTCGAAGCTAATGGTATTACACTTACTGGACTTACGAATTACGTAAGTACATATACAAATAATTTTCATTCTAATCCTGCGTCCTAATGTTTATTATATAAAATATTTATTTATTTCCATAGATCATCATCATCCTTCTCTTTCCCATTATTCCTACGCGCGATCGGCTTGCCTAATTACATTTCTTTATTAGTTTCCATCTTTATACCAATATCAACCCCCTTTTTCTACACGTCCTGCTTAAGTGTTTCCCACCTGGTCTTCTTTAGTCTTCTCTCCTAGTCGTCTCAGAAACCTGCAGATCAGCAAATCTTCGTATTGGGTGATTAAGGTCTTGACGTTGAATACGACCAAATTATCTTAACCTATGCTGTCCCATTTTGGCCTCACGTACTCCTACCTCTTACCTTTCAGTATTTTCATTTCTGCCACATGCATCCATTGTTCCTTTTTCTTTTTAACTGCCGTAGTTCTTTTTAACTAACATTTAGTTCCGTACATCACAGCTGGTCTTATGGCTGTTTTATAGAATTTTATCATCAACTTCATTGGAATTTTTTCTGTCACCCAACACACTGTTCGCTTTCTTTTACTTCATTTATTCAACCCTAATTCTACTACATGTATCGCCATCTATTTCCCCATTACTCTTTGATACCGATCCTAAACTAAATACACAATACAGATGCATTACTAATAAATAAGCATTATGAATGTTATGAGGAGCACTCACAAATCATAATTTTAACAATATATAATCATCCATAAATACCTCATAAACTATATTAACAGACATAGTTATTAAGCTATCGCCAACACTAGTAATATTAACACGTTAAACGCCACGAGAAGCAAGCGTGATCTTAGTGACTGAACTTACTGTCGTCATATCTTAGTGTATTTCAGGCTGCGTGGTACATCTGGGCTTTACAATACCCATTCATTTATTTGTAATGCAATTTTTCAGTAGCTGATAAATTCTTTTATATATTTTGCCTGCATTTTTAGGATACTTGTGTCAAGCAATAAAATAATATATTTTTATGTAGCTTGAAATTAGGTTTCATTTATGTATAACGTAACAACTGTTTTTCCTTTAATGCAATAGATCAGTAAATGTTTTTTAAAATTAGCAGTACATGTTTTCAGTTCAGAAATAAATGAAAAATATAATATGTATGTATATACAAATCTTTATAGATTACATAAATAAACTTCGCAAAAACACCTGAAATGAGAAAATGGAGTTTTTTTTGGCATTATCTGCTGAATTTTTTGCAGAACATATCTTCTTCTGGCCGAAATTTGCATTTCTTGTATATGGTGACCTTCACGAGCATGTTAGTCTATAGAAATCTACTAGTTTGCAAACCAACTCTTTCTTGAAAGATGTGATGGACATGTAACTGTTGGTTACTTTTTGGTAAATATTATAGGCGTTGACAGTAGCTGACCCTAGAAGGAGCACAATTTCTATTTTACGATATCATTTCACTGATTTTCGTTATGCTGTAGAATAAGACTTTAGTTGGTAGGATATATCTATAAATCCTTTGCTCTTATTGTAGCCGAAAACAGAAACTGGCTCTTCTACTATTCCTCCTCTTTGATGACCGTCTATCATTTCAGCAGTATGCTTTATACTCAGCATAAGCATTTCGCGTTTGTTCTTCCACTTAGTTACTGCTATATCTGTGTTACTATCCATCCCAATAATTTCCCCTTTCTTTAATTTTGTACCTGTCACTTCTTTCGGATTAAGTTTTCTGTTTTGCCTCAAAGTTCCCACTAAATTTGTATTTTTATTTAGCAACCTATGTGCTAATGTAACGCTAGTATAAAAGTTGTCTGTGTATATAGTACGTCCAACATCTAATAGGTTATTAGCTAAACGAAATACAACACTATCCGGAACTGACATATTTTCAGTTTTATCATTAACACAATAAATTTGTAGATCATAAGTATAACCTACTTCCAAACAGAGTTTGTATATCGTCACCCCGAATTTATGTCTCTTGTTTTTGATATACTGCCTAAATGACAGTCGGCCCCTACACGAATCTACAGTTTCATCAAAACAGAGTTCTTCCCCCGGCACTACCACTCTTTAAAAAATTTGATACCAGACCTGGCCATCGACATTCTTCCATATCAAGGGTGTTATGATCAATTGCAATGTCATCGTCTTCTGAAGAGCTTTCATCATCTGACAGTCGATATTGGGAAATAACATTCTCAATGATATCGTCTACTGTTCATAAGTGTTGCGATGTTGTAGGTAAATCTTGTAAATTACTTTGTATGTTTTGACTTTTGCTTTCCGGAATACCTTGATTTGTCGAAGAACTACTTATTTCGTCATCACTATCCAATTCAAAATTTTTATCACGAACACTGTCATCACTATCTTTGTCTGAAAAAACTCTTCCACTAGCTTTTGTAAACGCTTTTGCTCGTTTTCATATGACATCATCATCATATAACGGGTGTCCTACGGCGATTGCCGCTTCCCGCATTTCAGCCTCCATCTTTTCCTATCTCTCCAATCTCCCTCTTCTAGGCCTCTAGATTGCATTGTTTTTGTAATTTCTCTTCTCCAGGAATTTGGTGGTCTTCCCCTTTTCCTTCTTTCTGGCGGAACATATATTAAGGCTTTCTTTGGCCACCGCTCCTCCTCCATTCTCATCACGTGACCATACCATTGTAATTGCCTTCCTTGCCTTGACACTACCATGTGCTTTCTCAAGGTCTATAAATACCAAATGGGTCTCTCTACTTCTTTCGACACGCTTTTCAATTATTTGTCGTAGGATAAATATATTATCAAGGCAATCTCCCGGTACGAAAGCCGCTTTGTTCTTCAATATCTTGTATCTGTCTTTCAACCCTCTTCTTTAATATTCTGCCGTACAACCGGCCCACAGAGCTCGTCACACTACTACCTCTATAATTGAAACAGTTTCTTTTATTCCCTCTCTTATATATGGAGCTTATATATGATTTATTCCAATCTGTAGGAATTTCCTGGTCTCCACACATACATTTATTTAAAAGGTCTACTATTAATTCTAAAAGTGCAGTCGGCCCATATTTAACCAGCTCTATGGGAATGTCTCCAGGCCCTGCGGCTTTTCCGTTTTTAACCTCTTTTAAGGTTTCCGTCAATTCAGATAATGTTATTATATGTCTTCCTGACTTTCCTGTCTTTCGTCTCTGTTATCTATTAATTCCCTTATCTTGTCCCATCTGTACTCTAATCTATCCTCTTTCAGCAGTTTCGTATAATATTCTTCCCATTCATTTAACTTTGTGAGAGGAATGTTGTCTTCATTTTTCTCATTTTTCCTAAACTGCTTTAATGTTTTCCAAGCTTGTGCCACTTTTGTTCTACCCATAAATATGTCCAGTTCATCACACTTAGCCTTCCAGTTTTTCGCCTTATCCACTTCTTTTTTAACTTCTCTATTCTATTTGGCGTATATTTCTCTTTCTTGAGGATCTTTGGATTGAAGCCATATGTGATAAATATGCTTCTTTTTTCTTGAGAACTTTCTCTTCTAGTTCCGTTGACAACCATTTAGGTTTTCCTTTTTTCCGATTTTCAACTTTTCCCAGTACTTCATTTGCCGCTTCGTGAATATATTTTTTAATTACCTTATACAGACTTTCAGGGTCTAAGTCCTTTGTTTCTATATTTTTTATTTTTTGAGCTATTCTAATTTTATATAAGAACTTTGTCGAATCTTGTTTAAAGCTTTCCAGGTTATATTTTATGTTTTCTATGGTTGTTCCTATGTCTGTTACTTCATCATTTTTGTGACTTGATTGTTCTCTCTTAAATGTCACCATTACTTTTGCAATAATCATATGGTGGTCACTTCCACATTCTGGCCCTCCAAACACCCTCACGTCTTTCGTTTTTAGTTTATAATCTTTACGCTGAATGAAATAGTCAATTATTGATTTTAAATTCCTGGTATGCTGCGTCCATGTAAATTTGTGTATATTCTTGCGGGGGAAGAATCCATTTAATATTTTCAAAGAATGTGCCTCGCAAAAATCTATTAATCTTTGACCATTGACGTTCAGAATGTCTTCTCCATATCTCCCTACTATTTCACTGTTGGAGCTCTTTCCAGTTCTTGCATTAAGATCACCTAAGATCCAAATTTCTTTCTTCTTATTAATTGTGGCTAGAACAGTTGTTAACTTGTTAAAGTACTCTTCCTTGCTGTCAACCCTTGAGTCATCCATCGGTGCATATGTTCCAATTAGCACTATTTCATGACCATTTTTCTTAATTTCCATGAGGACTCCCTCACGTCTTTCGTTTTTAGTTTATAATCTTTACGCTGAATGAAATAGTCAATTATTGATTTTAAATTCCTGGTATGCTGCGTCCATGTAAATTTGTGTATATTCTTGCGGGGGAAGAATCCATTTAATATTTTCAAAGAATGTGCCTCGCAAAAATCTATTAATCTTTGACCATTGACGTTCAGAATGTCTTCTCCATATCTCCCTACTATTTCACTGTTGGAGCTCTTTCCAGTTCTTGCATTAAGATCACCTAAGATCCAAATTTCTTTCTTCTTATTAATTGTGGCTAGAACAGTTGTTAACTTGTTAAAGTACTCTTCCTTGCTGTCAACCCTTGAGTCATCCATCGGTGCATATGTTCCAATTAGCACTATTTCATGACCATTTTTCTTAATTTCCATGAGGATAATTCTTTCATCTATTTCTTGCCATGATTTAATACATTTTTCAGTTTCTGATGTATTGCTATAGACACTCCCCTTTTAGCTCGTTCGCTCTTTTCTACGCCACTATAGAAATGCAGGTATTCGCTTATCTTTTCATTTCCTCTTCCTTTTTTCATATGACATATTGAGAACTAATAATACACACTACAACCTCGTCTACCGACAACTAACTAATAACTAACACGTAGTGCATTTGTCTGGCAAATGTATAACTATTTAAAATGCATAAACTATTACTGTAAATGTGTTTAATATTTTGGCCCACAACTCTTTTTACTACGCATTGCGGCATTTAAGGTGTTGAAGCATACCGTATTATTTAGTTGTCGTTATACGTGGAAGAATTTACTACAACTTAGTTGGACCACTATTTTCTCGGTGTTTATGTTGCACCAAGGGCGTGCACCAGGGAATTGTACGTACTTGAATTAGTTCATTTATATTTTATAATCATAAGAATAAAAAAGATAATATTAAATTAAAAATCTTAGAATGAAGTTTTCGAACAACATAATAATGTGAATTCGTTATTGTAATGTATTGAATTCTAGTGCAACTCAATTCTAGCAACTCTACTTAATTTTAATAACTTAATAGGAAAGCAAAACCGTACGCCTATGACTTCTTACGTGTCTAAGAGCGATTCTGTTTATTCCCAGTGCATTTTTATTTTGATTAGACCTTAGGTACTTAAAACTATTACTTTTCACTATTGTCACCATCCAAAGATATAATTTTATTTGTAGTAACTCCATCTTTAAATTCAGGGGCATCTGAAATAAGCCAAGAAACGTTTTTTTAAAAAAGGAAAAATTAATTCACTTGGATAAAAACTCCAAGTTTATAGATGAAAAAAGTTTTTTTATGTCATTAACGTTTATAGACTTACTTCGTCAGTTGTGGCCTATCCAGCAGTAACAGAATGTCATAAATGTAAATTGGGACATAACAAATACACTAAACAAAGACAAACAAACACTTTAAAATTTAAAATTGGAGAAGCTACATTTTATATAGAAGCCGGAGACAGAATGGCTCCCAGCCTGGCGGAGGCGGAAATATTGAGATGACATCTGACAAATGACAGCTTGTGAAGGGCAGTTACAATAGATAAGTGATCTGCGCCTTTCAAGATTCTATAAAACTAAGTATTGACCAAAGATCCAACTGACACCACTATAGGAAATCAACTGAAGAAATGTAAAATTATATCTAATATTTTTATGTAGATTGAATAATCCAGATCTCACATTCAAACCTGTCTATAATAATTAGGATGTTAGTTGGAGAGGAATTGAAGTTGACATAAAGTATGAATGTAAGAAATAGACTAAACAATATATTAGACAGTGGATAGTTGACTACAATAAAATGGTCCACTAAGCGCTATCAGTACTGTAAAAAGAAAATCTGAATATTCAGTTGAATTGCTAAAAATTAAAAGCAAAATATATAAATGGGTTGTAATCCAAGTAGTTCAGTTGAATCCACAGTCAATGGAAGAACTTTCAAATTAATATGTAAATACTCAGTGCATGAAGTCTAAACAGTCGAGCTGGGCCCTCTACGAGGTGGAGCTGTAATAAAGTTTTTAAATATAGGATTAAATTTTGTACAATTTAAATTAATTTGAGTATTAAGACAGTGAGAGTTTTCATTTGTTTCCCTTGTAATCTCCAAATCTTCCAATAAATCCAACTCAAGATAGTTTTTCTTTCTACTGATGTCATGTAAGATGGATGAACCAGAATTGATGTTAAAATTGTGGTTGCTGGATACTAAGTGTTGACCAAAACTTGAAGAGTTTGGTCTTTTCAAATGTTCAGAGACTCTAGTGGATAACTTTCTGATGGTTCTACCTACATAAGAGGCATCACAATCATCACATTTTAATTTGTAAATACCACTTTTATCAAGTGTATTCATCCTATCTTTGGTATTGATTAAGAAGGAGCCTAAAGTGTTATGTGATTTAAACGAGATTTTGAGTTATCAATTGTAGAAGTAAAAAGTTTAGATATTTTATTGGAAATGCTGCTAATATAAGTGAAGGAGAAATATCTAATGTTATCTGAAACATTAGGTTGAAAAGACTGTGATGAATATGCAAGCTTTTCTGCAATTTTTAGTTTAGCTCTATTTAGAAGTTTGTATATAATATTAGGATCATAGCCATTATTGACAGCAATCTGCTTAAGAGTATTGAGTTCTGTATTAAAATTATCATCAGAAAGAGGAAATTTAAGTAATCGATGAATGTAACTGTTGAAAGCAGCCATTTTATGCTGAGTTGGGTGGTTAGACGTTTCATGTATAGCGTGATCTGTTTGGGTGGGTTTTCTATAAATGTTGTACTCTAAAGAATCTTTGTTACGGGATATAGTCATATCCAAGAAGTTCAACTTATTGTCAGATTCTGGTTCCAGAGTAAAAGAGATGTTAGGATGGAGGTTATTGAGATCATCCAGAATCTGTAGAGCATCATCTTGGGTTCCCTTAATGAGAGCTATACAATCATCCACATATCTTGACCAAAAAACTATTTTGTTGTTGTTGTTAACAAACTTCTGTTCTAAGCTGTCTAAGAAAATGTCAGCTAGAAAAGGTGATAATGGAGATCCCATTGCTAAACCTGTTGGTTGCTTATATATATTTTGGTTAAATTGAAAGAAGTCCTGATCAAGACAGAATTTAAGCATAGTTGATATAGCATCTTTATCCTTTGCAGATATGTTGCAATTATCTAGAAGGTTGTATACTAAAGGTAAAGTTTCATCTCTTGGTACAGAAGTAAACAAATTGGAAACATCAAAAGAAACTAAATAAAAACCCTCTTCTATCCTAATGTTATTTAAACGTTCTATTAGATCTAAAGAATTTTTGATGGAGAACTTAGGTTTGAAATGAGTGATAGACTGAATTGTGTTGTAGATGAACTCTGATAAAATAGAAACTGGAGTGTTACAAAAACTTACTACATTACTTATGGGACAATTGTGTTTATGGATTTTAGGTAGTCCATATAACCTAGGTGTTATAGGATTAGATACAGTTAACTTTCTGTTGTTATATTTAGTAATAGTGGGTTAAAACTTTTTCTTCAAAATCTTTTCTCCACTGTTCCAGTTTTGGTTCTAAATCGCTTTAGTTATTTCCTACTTACACTACATCTATAGATAAACGTAGATTATTAGATTTTACATACACAATTTACATTTACGAGTTATACAATATTTAATTTCAATCGCAGCAAAAACATATTAATTGCATTTTGTGTTGCATATATTGCTACCGTAGCAGTACTGTATGAACCAAAAATACATACAGGCTTCTGTGGTATAGAAAACCTATTTATTAAAACAATATTATGCTTTAGGAAGCCTTGGAAGTCCTCAGAACTGCTCCAAATCACGTAGATTTAAAAATTTGTAGACCTCCTCCAGATGTACTGAACTGTGTAAGTCCTATATCAGAAGTTCCTCCTCCTCCGCCTAGACGAGAACCTCCTAATAATCTTAATCTGCCTTCCAACGCTTATTCTACACCTGAAGATGACTATTACCATGGGGTAAGATCATTTGAATTTTTTTTATTCCATATTAATTTAGAACGTCTGGCCTACTCTAAGTACTCTTTTTCTACATTCTTTTTTTATTTACAGGAATTTGAAATTACGCTTAAAAAAATTCAAGGATCTTTGGGATTCACTCTCCGAAAAGAGGACGACAGCGCTTTGGGTCATTACGTTAGGGCATTAGTCAGGGAGCCTGCTCTTACCGATGGAAGAATTAGAGCCGGAGATAAGATCATAGCAGTAAGTATTTCTAAAATATACATAACATGAAATTTTTATTCTGAGTTTTGGCAACAAATATGATGCATTTAAAATATTCCTACAAAACGCTGAATTTAAACTTTCACATTTCTAGGAGGTAAATAATAAACCACAAAATAGGTATTTTTTTTAAATTCAGATAAAAATCATGAAACTTTTAGGTAAATGATGTCGAAATATGTCCGATGTCTCACGAGCAGGCGGTCCAATTTCTTCGTCAATGCCCGGAGATAGTCAAGTTACGCCTTTATAGAGATTCTGCTCAAACTCCAGTTGCCACTCTTTCTCCTACAGAAACTACTCCTAGAACTTCCTTTTCTCGAAAAGCACATTTAAGGTAAGCATTACCCTAAAGTTTTTTCATTTATTACCCCCGAAAGCGTATTTAAATTATTAATATATTTATAACATAAACTTTAGGCCAAAAAGAAATCATGTTTAGATTAGATTGACTAATAGTGGTTAATTTTATAGACAAGAGGCTGTGGACATGCTCAACGATCTAGCAGGACGCAAATTGTGTATGAATCCTGAGATCTACAATCGTTCTATGTCTCCTACATCGTCACCGAGACGTCTGAGACGACAACCGTTTCCTTCTGATGCTTCGCAAAGAGATTATCTCCCAGAAGGTGAATACATACCTCAACAAGGCGACTATATTCATTCTCAAGGTGCGTATCATCATTCAATAAGTATTTTTTAGTGTGTGCATTTATAGTATTTATTTTTTAATATTAGCTTCCGATCATTTTTGAAGTCCAAAATAGTTGCCTGACTGTTTTCTCTTTATGATTCGAGCATGGACTTCCCTCAGCAAACCTCCCCATTCGATACGATCTTAGCCATTCTCCTCCACGATTGACTGCCAAGGAGATTTCTTGCGTTTTTATCCACATCATCCTCTCATCGCTTTCTCGGTCTCCCAATGGATCTCTTCCCCGGTATGCTTGCATTCAACAGTTTTTATGAAAGCCTGTTGTCTTCTTTAATACAGCCCTCGTATACTAAAACCAACTCCTTTTTCAAAACCATTTTACACATACACTACTACAATCTTTCGCATATACACGTACCAGTTACAATAATTAATACTAGCTTATCTATCGAATTTTATTTTCAGATTACTTACTACACTTTTCCCACACTAGTCAGAAAATCTCCCTTTTTCTATCTGAACCTTTATATCTTGATCATACAAATGTACTTGTATTTCACACAGATTTGTACATTAATCCTATTACACCCTCCCTTTGCTCAATTACAATTCGCTTACATTGGCAACCATCCACGCCTTAGATATTATCACTAGTGGAATCCTGTTTCCAATTCCATCTATCTTCTATACCAGGGGTCTCCAAACTACGGCCCGAGGGTCACATCCGGCCCGCAGACAGATTTTGTCCGGCCCGCGGAGACATACTTGAAAACTCCTTTTAGGGAACAAATATTTTTTATAGCAAATAAAATGTTTGTGATAAGATGGATAAAGAAACACAGAATGATAATGAGTAAAGACATGTACAATTTATGCAGTAAATTTAACTTTAGCATATAATAACTAACAAATTATTGAAATGAATCCAACTAACATTTTATACATTGTAAGTAATGAACAACACATACCTTATAACAAACATGACATATGAAATGCTAATGAGATGTATGTAATTGAGATTTTCCACCGACAATAGTTTGTAGTTGTGGACTAATTTTACTTGTACCAATTATTAAAAGAGATTTAAGATGCTCGTCAGTTAATTTAGATCTGTATACATGTTTTTTGTACTTCATTTTGGAGAAGGTTTTCTCACACAAATAAGTAGTACCAAAAACGGAAAACAACCCACGAGCAAATTTATGCAAATTATCAAATTGTGTCAGTGGAAGACTCTTATAAAATTCCAACAAAGATGAGTTTTCATATTTGTTCTTAATTATATCACTGCACTGAAGATCAATCATTTCCATTTGAAGTTCCGGGGCTAGGGTTTCAATGTCAGCATCAAAAGGATTCTGAAAAATCTTAATTTGATTCGCAATGGCATCAAAGTCCGAGAAACGAGTATCAAAATTTATCTTCAAACACTCAAAGTTTCGATTGCAAAATCGATATTAAACTCAGTCTCAGTAGTGTGGCTGAATATTTCACATGTTTTAAAATGTGAAAAACATTTACTTCGTAGTTGTGATTGAAACAGTATCAATTTCATCCGGAATGACTTGATATTAGTGTATAAATCAGGAAGATGCTGGTTTTCTCCTTGCAATCTCAAATTCAGTTCGTTCACATGTTTTGTCAAATCAACATAGAATGCTAACTTCCATAGCCATGCGTTGTTTTGTAATTCAGTAAGAGAGCGGTGCTTTTCATTCAAAAAAATTTCAAGCACTGCTCGAAGTTTAAAAAAGCGCTGAAGGACTTTCCCACAAGTAAGCCAGCGTACGGCAGTATGATAAGGTAAGTCTGTTTCTCCAATCTCTGCAATAAATTGTGGGAATTGTCGGTGATTCAACCCAAAAGATCTGATGAAATTAACAGTTGATATGACTGGTTTCAGAACGTCAGACATATCCAAACATTTTCCGCACAAAGACTGTTGATGAATGATACAATGTAAGACTAATGGTTTTGAGCCGCCGTCATTTTCTACAGCCTTTGACACAAGAGCGACCACTCCTTCATCTTTCCCACTCATGTTTTTGCCTCCATCAGTTGTAATACATTTCAAGTTTTTCCGTCCAAGGTTCTTTTTATTAATGGCCATTTCAACTCCTTTAAAAATATCGGTACCAGTAGTTGTACCATGAATACTATACATATCAAGAAGTTCTTCGTGCACTTCATAGCTTTTATCTACTCCTCTAATATAAATCAACACCTGAGCAGTATCTGACACATCCGTTGACTCATCCAAGGCCAAAGAAAACCACTCAACATGTCCATTTTTGTCGAACAGTTGAGAGGATATATTTTCAGCGATGTTTTCTACCCTTCGAGCCACAGTGTTTGCTGACATACTGACAGTTTTTAATAAATTTACCTTTTCAGTTCACATTTCTTCGACTACTGCAATTATGCATTCCTTGATCATGTCTCCATCGGTGAATGGTTTTCCACGTTTTGCAATTTCAAGACCCACACGAAAGCTGGCACGAGTTGCCGCCTCTTGTTCAGTTTTGACTTTTGTAAATAAAGATTGCTGCGATTTCAATCCGCACTTCAAAGCTTCGAATTTTTCTGTCCGCACAATTCCTGTATATTTTGAGAATGTTTTGTTTCATAATGACGTTTCATGTTATATTCTTTAAAAACGGGTATGCTTTCATTGCAAATCAAACATAGCGCCTTGTTACTGGACTCAATTACGAAATACTGAATGTTCCACTGATCTTTGAATTTTCTGCATTCACTATCAATTTTTCGCTTCTTTTCCATTCTACTAAATCACACACAAAAGCAACAATTCAAATCAAATCAAAATACTGTTACACGCACAAACTTGTTTTAAGGAGGTACGCCCTATTTTATTTCACAATAGTTTCATAGGAACTGACTTGTAGTTACGCCACTATTGTCCTCGCACTCGTCCCACTTAGGTGGGGTCTTTAGTCTCCTCCCAGTTATCAGGTGCGTAACACTTAAGTGATTTGCGGCTATTATTTTTCAGACTTCTTATTATTTCGGATAGTTAAGTGTGTTTGTGACAATTTCTGACGATGGCGTTGAAAAATAGTAGAAAGAATAATTATGTTATTAGTGGACAATCTCGGGAGAGATTGGAGATTTCCACTGGTGGAAATATTTTGTTTGTTTATGTCTACCTTGTATTAAATTAAAATATATCAAAAATAGGTGAATATTTGACATACTTAATAATGTTGACAGCTTACCACACTTACAAAAAATTAAATTATTCGTTATTTTGCAAAAAATGAACCACACTTCAGCAAAATTCTATTACACATAAAATACAGAAATATATAAAATATATAAATAATAATAAAATATATAAAAAATATATATCAAATACAGTGTTGCCATCTTGGCCCCCGGAACTTACTGGAGTAATCAGTATGGCCCTAAGGCTAGAAAGTTTGGAGACCCCTGTTCTATACTATCAATGTTACACAAACAAAATACACAATTCACATATATCAGTATAATTTAATTTAATAATTTTTCAGAATAATTAGGTTAATTACATGGCGTATTTGCTCTTGTTCGAGATTTTAGCGTATTATTAATTTATCAACTAGCCTATTCTTTTCAATAATAGAACTGTATTGGATAATTAATTCTAATATACACTTACTAAACATTAATTACGTTTACTAGAATATCATTTAAAACAATATTATAACTTACATCTAAACCTGGTTTAAACATCCACAGTGGGCACCTATTAGTTTAGTATTTACTGAAAACTACCTTTCACCTGGCTTGAATGTCTTTTTTAATTAAAGGACAACGTTCATTTTTTTGGACAACCAAGAGTTTTTACTTCATAAAAGTTTTATAAAAGATAATATTGCCAATAAAAATACCTTTTCATTTAATTTTGCAACGCTTATACAAAATATGATTTTAATATTTTGATGTACCATGTACATATAGGTGGTCCAATGGGTGAATATGAAATCTACCACGAGCAGTTCCACGAAGGCATTATACAAAAGTTTCCCAGGCCTTTCGATGAAGACGCTTTTAACTCGTTGTTTTCCATGGAGTCAGAAGACGGAGATAGACCGAATAGACCAAGCTCTTTGGAACTATATAACCCCAATCAAACTCCTGTGGCATGTCGTAAGCCCCGTTTCAACTTTTCTTTGGCCCACAACGCTTATGAATTGAACAATTTGGATGCCGAAGTTTTAGACGCGCCTAATTTGAAATATAATTTATGTAAGTACTAGCATATACAACTACAAATAATAATTATTTACGTTATTGAAAGCGTATACCAGAACTGCAACTCGAATTCACAAATACTCTATTGATCGTACATGTTGATTTTCTTTTGTAAAACAATAATCAACCTGTGTTTCATGTTTTTCACTTAAACACGTTGAATAGTTCAGTTATTTATTCATTATAGATATACAGAGGATTTGACTTGCCGAGTAAACATTTTATAAATTTATAGTATTGTCATTGCAACCAATTTAAAATATTTTTGACTATAGGCAACGAAGATGTAAAAACATCAGATTCTGAGGTTCAAGAACCGGTCAGCATGCCACATATCCCTATTGCCACCACTTCAAACTTCAGTTATAAGCATCCTGCTTATCAATCAGCACATCCACAGATCAACTCTGAACCAATGGCAGAGCCTCCTCAATCAGTTAGACCCGCCACGAAAACTGATGACGGAACATTGAGGAGACGGAAAAATACCGCACCTGAAGAAAAAGAAGTCAAACTAGTCCAACCAGTGCGCATGAAGGAAGAATATGAGGTAAGACAAAATTTTTCTTAAGGTTTGTTTATTTTACAGATTATTATGTCTATATCGGATATATTTTGAATAATTCGTTTGTGTTGTGTACTAATTTATGTTATTTCAGATCCTTGCCATAGAACTGAACAGAGGTTGGAATAGTAGATTGGGATTTAGCTTACAAGGGGCAGCTGGTGTCACCTACGTTAGTGCCGTTCATGCAGATAGTGTAGCTGCTAGAGATGGACGCCTGAAACCAGGCGATCGTCTTATTAGGGTGAGTTTTTGTGCATTTTTATATGCTTGTGAGGTTCAAATGAAGTGCATGACTGAACCGCCTGTGATTTAGATAGCAAGTACTGTGTGTTAAGGCGAAGTCCCATGTATCCGATTTCCGAGATCCGACATACGAAAATCGTATGGTTTCGCAGTTGGTATTTGGAAGCTAGTCACATGGATGCGATTGTCGGATACAAAAATCCGTATAAACTGTTAACTGTCAATTTTTTGTTTATTGTTTGGATGTTTGGTGGTTTGGCTGGTAATTGCTGTTTTACCACTTTTACGTAGCAAAACAGCAGAAGGGATTATTTCCGCATGGTATATAATAATCCCTTCTCCTGCTTTCAATTACTCAGTTTATTATTTATAACGTAGAAGAAACTATGTAACTTAATGAAATGTGTAATTACGCATTCTATGGTAATTGCAAATATTTATCAACATCATTTAGCTGCAAGAGTGCAATAGATTATTAAAAGCCCCTTGTGACTTTTTTTACTGAAATATTTAACTAACTCAATATTTTCTTTGTCGAATTGTACGTTTTGTTTTTTTTTGCGAATTAAAAGAAGCAGACATAATAATAGCGTTTTATTAACTTTATTTAACATAGCTTCTTCGATTAAAATTCATGTTTCAATAAATTAAATGTACAGATGTTAAACTATTGGAATAAAATTAGGTTACAAAACATCCGTTTTGTCGAAAAAAGTTAAAATAATTTTATCTTTATCCGATGTCGGAAGCGTAGTTAAAAATTTCAGATGAAATTCGGCGCGAAAATATTCTGATTGGATTCTGATCAATGAGAATACTTTCGGATCATCGTGTCGTCGGAAATCGGATGCATGGGACTCCGCCTTTAGAGGAGCGAATAGTAAAACTAGAACTACACCATAGATAAGAAGGTTAGGTTAGGTTAGGTTAGGTTAGGTTAGGTTATGAACTACACACAACAAAAGAAAAATTAAAGAGGTAAAGTTGGCGTCGATAGTAAGTCTCCTGATCCGGAATTTTGAGTCTGGGCAAATTTTTCTGGCAATCGAATAATAACGTAAGATTTTAATTTTCTTCTTCTTTTAGGAATGCAAAAAAGCTTTAGCTCTTTTTTTGTGAATATCTTGGGTAGCTTTTCAAGATGCAGTTGGCCGATGACCTATTGTTTGCTTTATTCTTTTCTGAAAGTTCCAAGCAAATCTAGCGTACATAGACTCAAGATGAACTAAAGCCCAAATTAAACTATCTATCTATCTATCTATCTAATCAGCCTTAAACGCCCACTCTTGGGCATAGGCCTCCCCTGTTAATCTCCATTGGTCTCTATTTTGGGCGATCTGCATCCAGTCCTTTCCTGCCGTTCTCTTAAGATCGTCAGTCCATCTCATCTGTGGTCTTCCTCTGTTTCATTTCTTTTCCTATGGTCTCCAGTGTAGAATTCGCTTATTCCATCTTTCATCTTTTTGCCGGAGAGTGTGACCGGCGAAGTTCCATTTAAGTTTTGCAATCTGTCTTGATACATCGTTCACCTTTGTTTTTTCTCTGATCCATTAGTTTCTTTTCCTGTCTTTAAGACCGATACCCATCATCTGTCTTTTCATTGCTCTTTGTGTTTTGGATATCCTGTCGATGTTCTCCTTTGTAAAAGTCCATGTTTGTGAGCCATATGTGATAACTGGTAAAATGCACTGATTGAATACTTTCGTTCGCATATATTGAGGGAACTTTTTATTTTTTAGAATATATGATAGTTTACCAAATGAGGCCCATGCTAGTCTAGTTCTTCTTTTTATTTCTTGTTTGATTGTCCCTGTTCAGCTTTGTTATCTGTCCTAGGTATATGTATTCTGCCACCTGCTCTAATTTATTCTGTTTGACTACTATTTCTAATTGGTCTTCTTGGTTTGTCATAGTCTTGGTTTTACTATAGTTCATCTCTAGACCTACCTTTGTCGCTTTTCTATCTAGTTCCTCAACCATCTTCTGTAACTCTTCCTTCTTATCTGTTATCAGGACTATATCGTCTGCATATCTTAAGTGATTTAAGAGCTCTCCGTTTATTCTTATTCCGTATGTATCCCATTCTAATTTTTTAAATATGTCTTCCATAGCCTGATTGAACAATTTTGTCGATATTGTCTTCCTGCCTGATTCCTCTTTCGAATTTTATTGGTTCTGTAGCGTGTTCGTTCTTCAATTTTATTGTGGTACTCGCATTTTTGTATATGTTTGTTATTAGGTCCGTGTACCTGTAATCAATTCTGCCGTTCTGTAGTGAGTTTTTGATGGCCCAATGTTTTATGCTGTCAAACGCCTTTCGAAAGTCTATGAATGCCATGTACAATGGGATTTGATATTCGTTCGACTTTTCAATCAGTATTTTTACTATTAGCAGATGGTCGCTAGTACTAAAACCCTTTCTGAATCCCGCTTGTTCTCTTGCTTGGTATTCGTCAAGCTTAGTTGTTAGTCATGATCTTCATTAGTAGTTTAAATACAACACTTGGTAATGTTATAGGTCTATAGTTTTCTAAGTTCTTTCGGTCGCCTTTTTTGAACATTAATAGTGTCTTCGCATCGTTCCAGCTATCGGGTATTTCTTGTGTGGTCAATCAAATTAAACTAACGTACGAAGTTTTTTTTGTACAAATTAAACTAACGTACAAAAATGTGGCGAAAGTAAGAATTTTTTACTTTCAAGTTTTTATCGGTTTGAGTGTTGTACATATTCGCTAGTTTTTCTACATTAAAATCAGACGAGCTGATGTATTTTATAACACCTTGTTGTCTCTCTTTGAAGTTAGGAATTGCGATCATTACCTTTTCTTTCCTGGGCAACATTACCATAGTCGAAAAGTCCGTGCACATACTTAACCATCATCACCATCACCCAATTTTCGTAGAAAAAATCTTCCTGTGAAATTTTTGTCTTTTCTGTTTCCAGCTGATCTTTTTTAGCGACTACTGCATGGACTTTGCTAAAACAAATCCTGATCAATTGCTGTGAATACAACATTTCAGCACAAGTACTTTCCAATGATTACAAAGCCGTCTATGATACAATAGACAGAAACAAATTAATAGAACCGTTAAAAGAATTCCAAGTGCCAGAAAAAATAATAAGATTGGCAAAAATGACAATTAGACAAACCTGTGCTGTGAAAGGCAACGGTACAGTCTAAGAAGAATTCGAAGTGAAAAAGGTGTTCGCCAAGGAGACCCCGTTGTCTACATTGCTATTTAATATAGTTCTAGAAAAAATTGTAAGGGAGAGTGGGATAAATAGGTCCGGAACTATTTTATATAAGGAGCACCAATGCTTAGCATACGCTGATGATGTAGTTCTCATTGCAAGAAATGGAAAAGAATTATCAAATATAGCCAAAAGACTTCCAAAAAGACCAAACTTCGCAGAATGTTTGGTGAGAAAGTAGTAGAGGGGGAATAGAGAAGACTAGTACCAATACAGAAGTGTACCCTTTGTATGCTAACTCTAGAATAACAAAAGTGACGAAAAAACGTAGACTAGAATGGCTCGCTTATCTAGAAAGAATGCAAGGTAATATACTAGTTAAGAATATTGCTTGGAGAGTACCTGAGGGCAAAAAAAAAAGAAAAGAAGACCAGGAAAGAAATGGAGAGATGTAGTGATGAAAGATGTCAGATAGATGGAAATCAGAGATTAGAAGCTGATAGCTAAGAACAGAAAACGATGGGAATTATGCATCCAGCTTCTTCAAGTGCCATCTCCGCGGCGGAGGTCGGCAATCATCATAGCTATTCGGACTTTTGAGACGGCTGCTCTGAAAAGTTCATTTGATGTGCATCCGTACCACTCTCTCAGGTTGCGCAGCCATGGCATTCTACGCCTCCCTATGCTTCTCTTTCCTTGGATCTTTCCCTGCATAATCAGTTGGAGCAAGGTGTATTTCTCTCCACGTGTAATATGTCCGATATATTCTAATTTTCTTGTTTTTATTGTATTTAAAATTTCCATTTCTTTATTCATCCTTCCCAGAACCTCTTTGGTTGTGACATGTTCTGTCCACGATATTTTCAATATTCTTCTGTATATCTACAGCTCGAGTGACTCCAGTTTTTTTTATTGATGTCGCATTCAAGGTCCAAGATTCCATTCCATAAAATAAAGTCGAAAAAACATAGCACCTCGCCAATCTAACTCTTAGTCCATCCAGCAATGGGCTTAAAAGGCCTGTTAACGCTGTACATACATACATACTGCGTGGACTTACTACTGTATATTTCATGATGAAGCTATCTTGATCACTTCTCTTTTTAGTTGCAAAAAAGCATCTCTAAATATCAGTATCTTTTTCTTAGCGTGATTGCAGTCTGGTATCATAATGGGTCCATGTGGTGCCGAATATCTAGGAATAAAAACAGATTTCAATTTATCATTCTTAAATGTTAGTCTAGAGCCCTGCGTATAATTTAACAATCATAATATTTTGTATTTTACACTTAATCGTGTATATAAACTTTTACATTATTTTGTTGGAATAAACAATAGACGGTCAGTAATAAATAATGTGATTGTAGATTATTTGTTGTTGCAAAATTTAAAATTAAAGCGTTTAAATAAACAAGAAGTATTAGTTATAACGTACAAAATTGTTGTTTTTTGTGTAAAATAAACGAATTATAGGGTCGGGTTTTTTAATTTTACTTTAAGTGAGTAAGGCACATAAGGAGTAGAGCAACAAATGAACAAAACAAATAAACAAATAAAAGTGACGCCAAATGGCTTGACAGAACCATAGTTTATTTTTTTTAGCGATTAATAATTTAGTAAATTTGAAATAATTTAATCTATTCTTTAACTAAAAGTACGACATAAAATATTGCATATTATGTCTATAGTTGCCGTAAATTAATTAAACCGGGTTAATTTTTCTATGCATATCAGATAAAATTTCACTGAACAGCACTGGTTCCGTTTAAAACATGACTGATTCTGTCTGAGTGAATGGGATGCGCTTATTTATCTTGACAAACAGAGTGAGGATTCTGATTGTTATTTATTCCGTGTCAAAAGCATGTTGCGGCGGCCTTTACCTGTTTTGGTCTTTAAGCAGGTGGAATTTTATCTGGACCAAAAACAACAAAATTTTACGTGGACCGGTCAAAATGAATGTATCGGTTTTGATTTTTAGCACAAAAAAAACTAATATAATTGTGTCTTTTTACATCGTTTATTACAAAAATAAATTGAATTCTACACTAATAAAAATAAAAATAAACGAACAAACCAAGTAACCCTAACGTATTTGTAATACAACAAAAATAATAAAAATTAAATTTCTGGAAATGAGATAGTTGCTAGATATGCTTTTGAAAACATTCGAGGCACATTGGCAGGTTACAGGTATCGCAATACGTATTAATTTTTATCGCATTTTTACGAGCATAAACTGGATTTTGTCGCTGAGACATAGTCTTGTAGCATGGGCTGTACCTTTTTCTGGTAACCCTCTTTTGCCCCTCGTATTCTTTCGAGAAGTGTTTTATCTTGGAACTGGAGGGCCTTAATTGTATTGGAAATGGATTTAAATCTTGATAAACCAGAGCCTCTACGATATTTTCTTTGAATTGTATCTTTCCCAATTTCTTGTTATTAATATTGTTATACAGATGCAGAGCATTTACCATAGCTGTTGAAGTAACAAAATGAAAAACGAGTCGCTTATACCACTTGACGGTTCTTCTCACGTATGGCGCATAACATGCCATGCCATTTGGTCAGAAGTGTCGACAAAAGCTTTTCCTTTGTTGTAATCGCCGGTTTATAAACTTCTTGTCCTCTGCGATTAACTGTAACCATAGAGTCGTCCTGTTTGGTACTGAGCATAACAACATCTCTTTTATCTTTCCATTTGCAGACAACTGTTTTGTTTTCGTTTTGTTGGGCCACGACTTCACCCTTTCTCAATTTAGCTTTTACCTCATCTGGAGGATTATATTTTCTGTTTGTCGTTAGGGTTCCTACTAAATGTGTTTGTCGTTCAATTAGACTATTAGACAGCGAAACACTAGTGTACCAGTTATCGGTATATACAGTTCTACCTGCATCCAAAAGTCCCTCCATCAGTGTTGTGATA